AAAGAATGATGCTGAATGCCATTTTTTAACAGGGCTGCAGAGATTGTATTCCAGCCAGCCTGTGTCAGCATTCCACAGGTCAGCACAAAATATCCATGTTGGTTTTGGACTGACTACATACCATGGAGCTAAACCCTGTGCTGGCCTGTAATGTGTACAGTACTAAAAGATGGAGAGATTGAATAGGTGTGGCTGGGACAAAATATCTTGGCTCTTGGGAACTGCCACAACAGTATTTAAAGCAACTGCATGTAGAAGGGGGTTAAGAAAGTAAATGTATTTCAAATTCTCCTTGTCAGGAACAAATTAAATCACCATGGTAGAGGAACCAAAGAGAAATACATTTGGAAATGCTTATATGCTGAGGCTGGGAATCTGGGTAAAAAGTAAGAGCAACTAGATTTTATCAATTATCAAGAAAATTTCAACTTAATGGTCTCATCAGGTTACAGTGCCAGAGGGATCAATATGTTAAAATATTGTATAAGCTGTTTAAGCAGACCAAGAGTGACAAAAGAAATTGTGTGAGGGGAATGATTTTGTCTACGACTTTGACCTAGTGACATATATCTGCCTAACTTTGAACAGGGAAGTGCAGGATCTTAGGCAATGCAGCACAATAAATATGCTGATTATCAAGGCTCAGCAGTGAGCAGAGGTGAGCAGAGGTGACATTGTAAGTCACTGAAATTAATCTGAGCACAGCTTGAGCTACTGTTGCGTGGGGGGAGGCAACTGTGTAATTTTGGGGAACTGTATTTGGCATACTTGCTGAAGATTTCATTTAGGTACTAGTGAAACATCAATAGAGTAGCTTTAAATACTAGATGATAGTTCTGCAAAAAATAAGTTGTTAGACCTAGAGTGGAAGAATTCTGCTTTTAGATAGCCTGATAGATAAGAATGAATTTATCCACTGGTCTGGAAATCAGGTATTGTGTCAGGAAAAACTGATCATGACCTGGTTGCATTTAATATGCTTATAGTCCCAAACCGTAATATTCACACCTGTTAGTTTAAAAGGGCCAATTTCCCAAAGCCAAGGACAGCTCCTAATAAAACTGAATAAGCAGAGGCATGGAGGCATGAGCAAAACTGAAAGTTTTTCACGAGCTTACTAAATGGTCAAAACATTGTTAAGACAATATGTATGGCCAAAGAAGACAGAAAGCAGAAATGGACTTACTCATCTGTATTTGTGTATTTAAACAGGTATTAGTTTTTCCACACATATGGGAGTGCATAGGTATGCATATCTATAGACACTTGTGTGGGCATGCAAACACACAGTACTTATATATTTAAATAAATAGTGTAGCTGTATATTGGAAAAATAGACTATAAATGGGGGATAAATATCGATTGATATTTGAATGTTATTAAGAATGGAAATAACTAGTAATACCAAACTCAAAATCCTCTCTTGGCAAGCAAGTGGTGTTCTGAAAGAGTTTTAAATTTGCATAAGGAAAAAAAAGTAGCAATGATGTGGGCCAAGCAAGGGTCGTAGGTACTGAAACTGTTAATAAGAAATGTATAGATGGCTGAAATGTTCAGAAAATATTTCTGGGTTATGTTTTGAAAGAAAGAATATGGATTGTATATATCATGTGAGGCAGAGGAATTCTTTTCCAGCCCATGTACAACTAAAAGAATGTTAGACAACTCCTAGTTAGAGGAATCAGCTTTAAGGCAGTAGCCCCTGTATTGCCAGCAGCTATGCATCCCCTTTTTTTTCTTAAATTGGCTGAGAAATTTTCAGGCCCACTGATAAGAAGTTTTGATAAATTTGGGAACATTGGAGCAATCTGCCAAAACTGAAAGCATGCTCATTTTTTTCTGCCAGTGCCCTAAAGGCACAAACAGGATAATTCTGATAACAGCATGGCAGTCAGCCTGACCTCACTTCCAGCAAAATAATAGAGAAGCTGATATGGGAATTCAAGTATAAAGAACAGGACTATTGTTAATGGCAACCAATGATGTTTTCATTGACTTCAGGTCTTGTCAGGTAATCCTGGCTTGCTTCTTTACTGTAAGATTACCCAGTTGGTTAAAAAAGTGGCTATAGGCCTAATAGAAACTGAAAGTCTTCAGTTTGATATCCTACCATAATTTTATCAAAAATGTAGCATTTTGCATTCTTGTTTAAGAACATGCCAGGTAGCTAAGAACTGGTGGATAAAAGGAGCTGTTGCAAAATCACTTTAAAAAGAATTTTTTAGTGAGATTCCAGAGGACTCAGACCTCTTATGGCAATGTTCACAATTTAGTCTTGCAGGAAAAATACTGAGCTACTCACTGATTATGCATGGCACTTGAGCAAAGGGACTCTGAGTTGCCTCAAAAGCGGACTTCAGACTGAAAAAAGTGCTTTAACATGGTCAAGTGTAAAATTAAAAACCTGGAAACTGGGAACATTTACCATATGGGGGTGACAGCTTCAGAAAAAAAGTGGAGACTTTGGAAAGACTTTGGAGACCTTGATGGACAACCTTGGAATATAATCATAGCTCAATGCGAGGGTAAAATATCTGGTGTGATCCTCGAGTACATGTGTATTGTATGCATGCATATGGAGAGATTCATGGAGTAATACCAACCCCATCACAGACGGCATTTTAAAAGAGGATTTTAAATTCAATAAGAAGGCAGGGAATAACAAAAATCTTTCATGAGGGCTAGCTAATATACCTCCTATATTGGCAGGTCTCTAGCACAGCGTTTTTGTTCAACATGGAAAAAAGATGAGGATGTCAGTACAAATATAACACATGTAGAGGTACAAGATACAGATACCAGCTCTTTCATCTTTCCAGAATATGCATAACATGAATTGATGAAAATAATCTGAGGTAGTGTTTCAAATTAGCAATAAATTATCCATGTGCTTTTACATGTATGCACAATTAATCCCCAGAATAAGATACCGAAGAGATCAGTGGATTGCTCACCTTTTGGTTCTTCAGACCAGAGTAGAATGCTTTTCTAGAATGATTCCTTATAGGTTTAAACCCAGGCAGTGGGTTCCAAAAGAGACAAAGCAGGGGATGTGCAGC